CCTCCGCTTTATGCCTCAGCCACGTACACAGCCCCCTTGTCTGCTGCTCAGACCCTTTGAATTTTTCAGCAGTTAGCATTAATTCACTGCCAGAAATGACCTTTTCTGGCACTTTGGTAGGGTCTTGGGAAGAAAAAAAAGAAGATACATACTTTAGCACTATTTTCAATTAAAAGCCTTATTTATGTATTTATTTATTTAAAGTTATCTTTATTGTTGAAAGTATTATAGGTGTCCCTCTTTTTTCCCCCGTTTGATGTCCCTCCTTTTCCCCCCCTTTGACGTCCTCCTCCCTGCTCTCGCCCCACACCCCTGCCTTCAACGCACTATTATCTGTGTCTGTCGGTTATGCACATCTGCATAACCAATATGTAAGTTCTTCGGTGTATGTCTCCCCCGTCCCTGCCCCCGGAGGTTCGTCAGTCTGTTCCCTGCTTCCATGTCTCGGAATCTATTTTGTACATCAGTTTACTTTGTCTAAAAGCCTTTTTAGATCACTCCTAGTCACGAGACTCTGTACCATGAACATCTCTAACCACGCGTTTCCTTCTTTCCAGTGCAAAAGTTTCTCAACATTATCAAACAATTGGGAAGAAGTCATTGAGCCTGTTCCAGTATGTCAGCAGCATGTATAAAATCTTCATGTTATGTTAGTCAGAGTGCTCCATAAACCTAAAAAGAGCTGGGTAACTTTGTTACACTTACCTTGCTAGTGTGTGAGTTAGTTAAATTACACAGACTCTGAGTCAGCTCATTGCCAATAAATGAAATGCTACTTCCACACAGACATTGGGTGGGGGATGTTCTGTGCATCTATTTTGCAATAAGGTTGGAGATGATTTATGATACTATTAAGTTTAGTGTTTGAAAAATTATGGTTCAGAAAAGGATGAAATTTTCATCACTGTACACACTTCATATTAAACAACCCATATTAAACTAATGTGAAATGATGAAACAAAGCTAACAGTGTAATTATACAAACAAGAACGACGGCAGCTGAAGACCATGATAAACGAAAGCAATCACTGATGAGGAATTGTCCCTCCGAGGCTGTGGCACGTGGCCTCCGGGCGGCGTGCTGTGAGCTAGCCCTGCAGCTGAGCGTGGAAGCCACGTTTCTTGGGATTGAAGTAGACCTCAACGCCAGTAACACCTCGAGTTTAGGTTATGAATTCTGCATTTTAGTGCCCCTTAATAATTCGCTTTATAGGTTTCCCCTGACTAGCCACAGTTGTATTGGAAAAAGAAAGGTGGTGAAATTGTGTCGGTTAAGTGCCAGAGAAAGGACTGGGTTTGAGGTTAGTTCACAGCCCCTGGGAAGGGCTGACTTTGGACTTCTCTGCTAAGCCAGCGTGCAGGCCAGGGGCTCTTTTGATTACAGCTATGTACATTTTCACTAGCAAGATGCCCCTGGGCATATAAACACTGTTTTATATATAATTTTACTGTTTTCATGGACTTCACGACCCTTCGATGAACGCCTGCTCTGGGAAGCAGCTGTTTCTCATGGCACTCAGAAGGCTGCACAGGCCAGGCGTGCCCCACCTGCCTTATCCTTTGGCTCTACTCATGATAACTTCGTGATGGACATACTAGAATCTTCTAAGGACGCCGTCTCTGGCTGTCTTTGGCTCTGGTGCGTCTTCTAAGCTCGGTTGCCTTTGCTCCTCCCAAGGGAAGGAAGGTGTAGTGGTTTATGTGATTGACCTTTATTTGCATGATTGGCAAAAACATTTCATTTTATCGGCTTCTTTCAGTCATTTCCCAAAGGTTGAATGTATTTTTTAAGAGAAGTGTCAGGTTCATTTTACAAATGGAGATTTAGGAAAACACCAGCTTGAATTATTAAGGAGTCTAATTTAAAGCACTCTGGAATGGAAATGTCACTGTTGATACTGCACACTGATTTATTTCCAAACATTCAGCCAGCCGTGCGTCCTCGGTATGTACACATTTAATTTGAGTGTGATGTGCTGTCTTTTTTTTAAATACTCACCTGAGGTTATGTTTATTGATTCTTTTAGAGAGAGGGAGAGAGAAACATCAATGTGAGAGAGAATCATCGATTGGTTGCCTCCATATGCGCTCCAAAAGCGATTGAACCCCAACCTTGTTGGTGCATGGGATGATGTTCCAACCAACTGAGCCACCTGGCCAGGGCTGTGATGTGCTCTTTTGTATATTACTAGATTTAACTTTTTATTCTTTTCATGAGGGGAGTTGACCACTGATTTTAAATTCCTGTAACATTGTTGACAGCTTTACTCCCAATCCCGGTCTCATAACAAGAGTTGGGAAGTGTCCCCTCTCCTTTCTGTCTGAACAGTGTGTGAGGTCTGTTCCCACATGCCACCTCTCTTATCTTCATTCTTGTTGTTCTGATTCTCTCCAGGACATCACGCTCCTTCTGCATCTTTCAGGACTTCTTTTGGTGAGGGGCTGCTGCTAGCCAGGTTTCTCGTCGTTAACTTGTTTGGAAGCATCTTCGTTTGTTCTCACTGTGAAGAGACTTTTGTTGGGTCTAGAATTTCAGGTTGACACAGTGAGGATCTCACTGTCCCCCGGCAACTTGTCTCAGTTGTCCCTGCAGTTAGCCAGGGAAGGTTCTGTCAGGGTCGAAGTTGAAGTAGCAGTGACTACAGCTAACATGCTTTGGAGGTCTTTATAGTCAGAACAATGGAAAACTGCCCTGGTCTACAATTTCCTCTTGCGATGTTCTCATGTTGGTTGTCAGATTCTATCCAGCCCTTCGTGGTGCCTGGATCCTTGGAGTCACCCAGGCATGGTTCAGTCCTCCACCCGGACTGTTAGTCACCGAGTCCTGCTCATTTCACCTCCGAGATACCTGATTTTTCCATCCCTCGAGCCCCAGCTGTCTTCCCAGCCTCTGGTCTCAACCCTCTAGCTGTTGCCCACAGAGCTGCCAGAGCGGTCTTTCTGAAAACAGAGTTTGTCTGTGGTGCCTTCTGCCAAGAGACCTTCACCCTCCCTCTCACCGGGCATCTCGGCCAAGGGGCATCTCTCTGCCTTCCTGCACCCCCCGGCTCTGGGGCTCTGGCTCTACTTGCAGCCCCTCGTTCATGCCTGCTGGCTTCCAACCCTCTGTGCTGGTGCCCATCCTTAGGACTAATTAAGCACTTAAAATAGAAGCCACTGTGAGGAATTAGGAAGAGACTTCTTTGCCTTATCCTCTGTCAATCAGTTGTTTATTTACCTGTTGTTCACTTGTCTTGAGCATATCAAGCCTTTGTATCTTGGAATAATTGATGTCTCTAAACATCAGGGAATCTGCTCTGTTGAAATCTTTGTTTAACTGTACACTCATGTAATTGATTTATGCAGCTACAAGGTAGGAAATGAGAGTACTTAGTTTTTGGCAGAGTGAAGCCTTAATTTCCAATCTAATTAGATTACAATGATAAATAACACTTTAAAAGAAAATGCAATTGCTTCATTTAATCAGTATGATTATTACTAGCACAGCCAATCCATCCAGTGCTGAGTGATACATTTATTCTAGTACAACTAGTTCTGTACTTGCTATCAGTGCTAAGCATGCTAAGTAATACACAGCCCCTGTTTCACCAGCATGGCTGTGGCATATGAATTTCCTTGGTAGGAGATAGATAGGCCCTGTGGTAGAAGCCCCTCCAGCTTGATTAAGTTGGGGTCACACTGATTTCAGAGGGGATGTCCTGAGCTGGGAGCACCCAGCAGGAGAAGGCTCTGGAAGGGCATGGGGCTGGGTCACCTCCCCGCCCCGAGCGTGTCAGGAGCTGGAGGTCGCAGAGCTACCCGGTGTTGGGGCTTTCTGTTGGTCCCACCCTACCTCCATTTCGGCCTTTTCAGATTTCTAGGTGGCCACACTTCCTGTTCCTTTCACCTGATGGATCCAGGCAAGTTGAGAAGGAGACAGGATCTTAACTCTCAGCCTTGTTTACTGACTTGCTTCCTGTCCCCAGACCACAGCTCCTGTGCTGCCTCCTCTGTCCTGGCTTTTCTCACGCTCTTGTCACCCTCTGTACCTGTGGAGTGTTAGCTCTCCTCTTGTCTACTGCGGCTGGCTGGCTGGTCAGTTGTCACATGGTTAATCGTATAGCAACTCCTTGGTCCCATCACTATTGGAGCGGTCCTAGCAGAGGCCTGACCCACAGCACAGGTGAGTCCAGGCAGTCACAGCTGGGAGATGTAGGAGGTCTCAGAAACCAGTCAGCTCTCACCCACGAGGACCCGTAGTTGTGACGGGTCCTGGTGGCCTGGGGAACATCCTGGTGACTGGACTGTCTGCACAGTTGGAGCTCCTGCACACTCAGAAGCACCTCGGCTGCGCCCCAGCTTCAGTCTCCAGTGCCTACTCGGACCCCTGGCTCCTGCCACCCATATTCATGCACATCTCTGCCCCAGGACTCCCCTTCAATGAGATGTTGGTTTGTTTCTCAAAAAGAAAACATTAATCTTACTTGTATAGGTATTGGAAGTGCATTAGCATGTGGAAACGTTCTCTTCCGTGACTTGCTGGTGGAACCATTCTTACTCAGAGAGGGAATGATGTGCCGGCGTCGCTTGACAGCTCTGTGGCGCCTGCGTGTGGATGGCCCGTGGCTCCTCCACCTGGGCAGCAGGGGTTGGGAGCCGCCTGGGCCTGTGGGTTCTGTCTGCACCCCAGCTCACCGAAGGGAAGCTCACACAAGCAGTGCCCGGGGCCGCATTCCTTGGCCTGTGGCCTGGTGCCTGTTGCTCTGGTGTGTTGGGAGCAGACGTGGATTGTGGGTGTTCCCCAGCCGTCGGCCTGTCCTGGCAGGTGGGATGAAGGATGATCAGTTATTGTGTATCAGCTTCAGAAAAGCATGAGAGTACATTAAAAATAATTTAAACTTGTATTGAGGAAGAAGATTTGTAATGGAGTATTTATTATTAGAGTTCACGTCTGAAAGGGTGAAAAAGCAACTACTACTGAGTTAAATTCATGTAAATAGTTTAATCTTTTTATCACACAGAGTGAAGTCTTTCAACTTGGGCGTGGAGACCTTGAATAGTGGCTGAAGAAAAGCACCGACCAAGCACGCACGTTCTGATGACCTCAGTCCTCCCCGCTCCGACGGAGGCCTGGCCCTGGGATCAGAGCAGACACAGGAACTGAACCATTTCCCAGGTAGGTAAGAGCCTGCAAACGCTGTGAACATTCGCCGGAAAAAATTGACTTCTGTTGGATGTAAACCCATCATACCTGCTAAAATGTGTGTTACTGAGTCACTCCCAGCAGAGGTGATTGTCGCTGTGTCCCTGCGGCCCCTGCAGGCTGCTCCGCTGCTGCCCTCCAGGGCTCTGGGTCCTGCGCTGCCTCCCGCCTCAGGTCACCGTGTCAAGGTGGTGCCTCCTTCCAGCCTTTTAGCATCAATCATTTTCTTTGAGGTGATTAGAGGAAAATTTCTTTAGTACTTTTTTTTGGTGACTATTATGCAATTCAGCATCTGCTTTTGAGAGAAGTTGAGACCGATATTTGGGGAGTGAAGATGCAGCCACTTCTGACCTCTAGGTTGAGTTTGTGCCTGGAAAGGCCCCCCTGGCCATCTGAGTCTGTAAACTTCAGGCATGTAGGGTGGCCGGTTCCCAGGAGGCCTGTCCAGGAGGGTTGCTTGACCCTCAGCTGCTGCTCCCCTTTGGCACCCAGGCTGTGAGAGTTGGGGAGGGCACCGTCGAGGTGACTTTGTCCATGGCTTGTTCTCCTGGGTGGAGTTTATCTTCAGTGACAGACCTTTTAGCTTGATAGTGATATGAAATCTGCTTCTCTGTAACTTTATTTTATAAAAGGTAGACTCCCCAGGCTGGCACGGGTCTGGAAGGGCCACTGTGCTTAGTGCTGCTGAGTGAAGTGTGGTTGTGACCATCTACGTGTAACAGACTGCAGGCGTGGACGATTGCGAGTTATGCTGCTTCTTTGGGAGAGCAAGTATTTTTATACGGTGGAAGCATGTGTTGGAGAAATGAAGTGTTTATAATCTTTTGCAAAAATAAATTGTCCTTAAAGCCATAGAAAAATGTGTCAGGCCACGGGAGGTATCTGAGACACATGCCCAGAAAGGAGAGGGCTGCACGGATGTTACAACGTTATGACACAGGCTGACAGGTGACCGCACAGTAGAAAGTTTGTATTTCTTTTTGCTTTTCACTAACTGAGAGCTAATTTTGGCAACAAATAGTCTGGTGTGTATGCTTGTCCTTTTTCAGGGTGTCTTGAAAAAGAAAAGTAAGTAAACATGAATTTTGGGGGCTAACTAAGGTCATTGGTTGAATCCCCCCTCAGCGTAGCCTGCGCCATCGAGCCTCTCAGGACCCTCCAGCGTGTCTGGCGGGGCCCTGGAGGTGTGCGTCCTTACGTTCAGTGTCAGACACAGATGCTGCTTTTGCCTTACTTATTCCTGAAAAAGATTGAAGTGGTTTCTGTGTCTTCACACGTGAACGTGTCCCCCGGGGTTGGGGCACCTCAGGCTTGACTGTGGCATTCCTGCGGTATCCCCGACTCTGCACATTCAGAGCGGGGCCAAGGAAACCCCGACTCTTGTTTACCCTCGAGGCCTTATCAGTGTCTCCTTGTCACCTCACCCAAACCTTCCTTTTCTAATAAATATTCATTACCCCCCTTTTTATTCTGAAATTCATAGAAGACACGGCTGTATGCACGTAGAACCATATCAGTTTGAAAAGCACTGTCATGCCCAAGTGTAACAAAAGAGAGAGTGAGAGTTCGTTGTAAAGTAACGTTTACCACCAGGTAGCATCTGGGGCAGCACTGCTCAGAGGAGCCCCTGTGGCGGGCCCCTGGGAAGGCAGGTGGAGCCGGTGCTGGGTGGGGGCTCGTGGATGAGCCCGAAAGAAGCAGGTGCAGCCGCTGGTCTTCTCACGCTGCCTACATTTCTGGAACGTGAGTGGGTGTTGACAGTGTGGGAACTGCATCGTGGAGTGTGTGGAAGTAGGGTCTGGCGTGGGGACGGTGACCTGCCTCTCACCTACACGTTCTCCTTCAGTGCAGGGCAGTGCTTTGCTTCGGGAACGTCCTGCTTGCCCGTGCAGTGCCCTCCACCCACAAAGCGCTGGGAGCCCACACTGCAATGTGCAGACCACTTCTGTACAAGGCCACCGTGGGGCACCACTGCCACCTGCCGCGGCTGGTGGCCGTGGGCCGGGGGAGCGAGTTGACATGGGTCAACAGGGAGCATAGAAATTCATTCGCCTATACAGTGTTGGGTGGAAATCGTACAAGTGTTCTTAGGAGTCTATTGGTAATTTTCTTCTAGCTGTTTTGTGTCTGGTCGTGACTAAACATAAAATAATGTATGCAGATACCTTCAGACTGGTGTGTAAAAAACAGAGATTGGTTTGTAGATGTAGGAAAGTCGGGCAATGTCCTGCTCTTGCATCTTTTTAGTTTCTCCCAAGGCTTCCTCGCAGAAGGGACTTGTGGAAACACAGCGGCGCCCTCTTGTGGGCGGTCTCTGTACTCCCAGTGTGTGATAGTTCTGGAAGATGGTCCTGACCACCTCATCAACCCAGCCTAAGCGTGCCCAGCAGCCATGTGCCACGGGTGCGCCCGCCTGGTTGCACTGCTACAGATGACCTTCAGACTTGGACGAGAGTATTCGGTGTGGCATCTCCATTCCTCCCTTGCGCTGTGGTGTGGAGAGATCCCTGGGCCCCATTCTAGAAGAGAAAGGCACAGAGGTGCTAGAGGAAGGGTCTCTTCCTTCACTGGGACTTCCCTGCAGGCACTGGGGAAGGGGGGGCATGGTCTCTGGCCTCAGCGTGGACCGTCTGGGCTCAGCGTTGTGGTGTTGGCTGGTGCTGTGACAACAGCGGGGGCAGGAAGCCTGCTCTGGAGCCGGGCTGGGCTTGGGGCGAGCTGGAGCTGCGCCTGGAAAGGAGAGCGTGCGTCATCCAGGCAGTCGCTTTCGGAGGGGCCCGGGGAGGGGCTGCACGGCGCAGGCAGGAGCCGGAGCCCTGGTGGGCCTGCGAGGGGTGGGAGTGAGGCAGGTGGATGCATGTGGGGTGGGGGGGAGAGGCCAGACCTGTGTTTCATTTCAGTTTTTATCAAAGTGATGCCTTCAAAGTCAGACAAATCACATAATTTAGAAAGGCCTTTGGTAAAAGCAGTGGTCCGGAGCCCTGGTCTCCCTTGGAGGCAGCACTGATTTATTTTAAAGGGTTTTGGCTATTTGTGTTTCTGGATTGGTCCGTGTTAGGACCGGCTGCAGGAATCCGAGACGCAGCAAAAGGGAGAGAGGCTTCCCTCAAGATGTGTCTGCTCAGCAGACGGGCTGCCGGCCTTCCAGCTGGCAGGGCCCCAGACTCTTTCTGTCCTGTGCTCGACCTGCCGTGTGTGAACTCACGCACCGTTGGGGCGCGTGCTGGAGAAAGTGTGACAGAGCCCTGTGCGTGCTGTTCTGGAGAAGGTTCCCAGAAGCTGTCACGTGACACTTCTGCTTTCACCCCAGTGGACTTACCTTTAGTCACGTGACCTTGCCTGGCTGTAAGGTGACTGGAGATGTGGGTGCTCTGCCTCGTGAAAGAGGCGAGGAATGGATGCTAGTTCACGGGTGGCAGTCCCTGCCACACTTCCCGCTTCTAAATAATGTTCCTGCTCTTTTTTGATTTCTACATTTTAAGCATTATCTGTTGACTTTCAGTTCAGATAGGATTTAGCTCATTTACACTCCTCCTGCCTTCCCTTCAGTTAGGAGTGCTTTGGCTGCAAGTAATGGAAAACGACCTACAGTGGTTTAAACAACTGGGGATTTCTTTCTTTATTTGATTATAAGTAATGTAAAGGTAGGTTTTCACTGGTGTTGAATTAGAGCACAACCATGTCAGGAGTCTGGGCCATTTTCTGCAGTTCTCTTAATCATTCCCTCATGGTTGCAGTGTTGCTGCTACAGCTCCAGTCATCATGTCGATATTCAAGGCAGGAACAACTGGGGAGCAATAGGCAGTACAGCCCATGTTTGTCCTTCTTATTGGGGCATTCAGGAAGCCTCCAGCATATTTTTACTTGTATCTCGTTGACCAGAACTGTGTTGGTGTCCAGCTATAGTCACAAAGGAAACTGAGAAAATGTGTTTAACTCTTGTAGCATCCCTGATAAGGGGGCAGGGGCGACAGGCTTGGGGAGGAGCACTGGCCCAGCAGACCAGGATGGGCAGCCTCGTTCCCCTGCTGGTTGTCTCAGAACCGTGAGTGCTCACCCGTCCTTGTCCCCAGGACCTCAGACATCTTCTGTCTCCCCACCGTGTGGACACATGGATGCACTTACCCTACCATGCCCGTCACCTCTTCTTACTCTCCCCACTGTTCATCTTTGATCAGGTTTGTTTTCTGTTTCCTTTACATTATCGAAGTAGAAAACTTCATTTTGTTCTGTACCCACAGTTCCATCTGTTTCAGATCCAAAAATGGTATTTGTATTATGTATTATCATGGTCAGTAAATGTTGTTCATCACAGAACCAAGTGCAATGCAGGTGGTTGTGTTTCCTCCTCCAGGTCCCACACCAGGCCTTCTTTGTAGACAAAGGAAATCATTAGCATGACTTCTCTTTTAACACCCTCTGATTGCCAAAAGTCACCCTCGTTCGACTTCCTCTGTCACTGGGTCATACCTTTTGGTTCGGTTTTATCTTTTCCTGCATTTTCACATTGCCTGGCGGCGGAGCAGAGGGTGAGAACGGCTGCAGACCTGGCCTCCCCGTGAGCGCTTGTCCTGGGCCAGCTGCCTCGTCTGTGCAGTGGGGGTGACCATGGCGACAATGAGCACTAACCGAGTTAACCTGTGTCAGGGGATATTAGCACTAAGACTGTTTTTTTGTTGAGAGAGGAACCACATGCTTCCTTTACTTTCTCCCTAGTCTTTTCCAGCTTTTCATTCTGTTTTTAGGAGTACATTCATTCGTTTTTCTTGAAATCTCTGTGTTGTCTATTTTTATTTTAAATCCTCACCTGAGGATATTTTTTTATTTATCTTCAGATAGGGTCGGAGGGAGGGAGAGAGGGAGAGAGAGAGAGAGAAACATCGACGCGAAAGAGACACATCGACTGGTTGCTTCCTGCATGACCCCAACCAGGCCAGGGAAGAACTGTAGCTGAGGTACATGCCCTTGACTGG